GTCGTGAGGCCCAAATGCGACAAAGCGCTTTGAAAAGGCCTTTCTCACAGCGTGGTCTGGGGCATCAGAACCGCGGCCGGCGGCGGTGGGGAGCGGGTGTAACTCGGCAGCTTCCGGGCCCAACCCGGGACCCCAGACTGGGAGTCCCGGGCAGTCGGGTCCCGACCGCAGCTCCGAATTGTTCACCTGTGCACCCACCGTCCACAGGCGTGACTGTCACTCCTGGAGCCCTGGAGGACACCGGCCACTCTGAAAGGGCTCACTGTCTAGCCGGGGCCGCCCCTGCCCTGTGGGGACAACGCAAAGGTGCTAGAAGGACCGGGATTCGGGAGGAGGAACGCGGTCCCAGGACGGGGGTGAGGCGGGCCTGAGCCCGACGCGGGCGAGGATGGGGCGGGGCCCAGGCTGGGGGAGAGGAGGGGCTTCCAGGCCAAACCCGGGAATGGTGGCTCCGGGAAACGCCCTGCCCTCCGCCCTCCACAGGCCGGGCCGGCGCCAGCTCACCTCTAACTGAGAGTCTTCTCTTAACAGAAGGTGGATGGACCCTGTCTTTGCTTTTAATTTGTGCCCTTAGTCACTCTGCTCGCAAAACCGATGAAGCACTGAGGGGCAAAGGTCAGACCCGCTCCCTCTGCCCAAGAACTCAGAAATGCACGTCTGTGCTCTGTGTTAAGCCCGCAAAGGGCATCGGATCCTGGGGGAGAGGCACACCCTCCCCTGGGCCCACCTTGAGGAGGTGTTAGCACGTCCAAGGACGAGGGCGTCAGTCCAGGACGCAGAGCAAGGAGAGGCAGAACCCGGGACCCCGGCAGCGTCGTCTGAGGTGGAAAGAGAGGCCCTGACTCAAGCAGGGAATGGCTGGTTCTCGGGGAGGGGAGAGGAGCGTCCTCCAGGACAGGGCCCTCCAACCCTGTAAGTCACGCTGGAGTTGGTCTAGGGTCTCAACCAGGATTTTAAAACGTATCAGACTCCGAATCCAAACATACTGGAGTTGCTGTATATGGCGTGGTTTGCAGAAGCATTTCATAGATGTGTAATCTTTGGTCATCAATTTATTCTGGTACTTCTTTCCCCTGGGGAAAGGGTGGTAGCCTTTAGCAGATTTTCCAAGGTTAAGGACTCCTGTAGAACCTCGGCAGGGCTCTGGTTCCCCAAGGCCTCTCTGGCTATAATCTGGCTTCAGGAGAAGATAGGCTTTGCCTTCAAGAGAAAATTTACTCATCAGGAAGCACAGGTGCCTGGTCTGACTGATTATTTTATCTGAAAACTGCATCCTGACTTTCTTGTTTGTACAACTGTCTCTCATAAATCTGGTCAATGTGTGTCAGTCCTCTGGAGCCCTGTTACTTTTGGATGTACAGACAGTAAAATTTCTCAGCTTGTAAAGACTACAGAATATGATAACAACCAAATACTGCCACCCTGTGGGCCCTGCCACGGACTCACAGTCGGTCACCAAGGCCTTGGAGCACTCGAGAATTTGGACCAATAGTCAGACCAATGTGGGTAGCGCAGGGGGAGTGTTCTCAGCTGGACATAACATCCACTCCCATGAAACACGCAGGCAACAGTGCGTAGCCTCGTCAGATAACACCCACGCAAACAGTCCAACCTCTGTAATCCAATCAGCTCTTTCTCAACTGTAGCCCAAGGCCAGCTCCACCTGTGTATGGGTGTTGGCGCCACAGCTCATGGGGCTCCCGCACCAAGGGGTCCACCCCAGCCATTTGACCCACTCCTCTGCAAAAGGCCTTGGGTCCCCAGCGAGGGGTCCAGCCAAGGGACCCAGGCCTTTCCATCAATCTTTAACTCGTTAATCAGCCTGACTGTTGCCCCAGGCAATTGCTGGTGGGGTTACTCAGTGTAACCCCTACCTTCTGGCCTTTAAATTTCTCCAAACTGGAATAAATAGAAGGGACTTGTTTGGGGCCCTTTTATGTTGCCGGGAGCCAGTAGGGGTCCCTGTGGCCCACCCAACCTTAGGCAGTACTGTATCAGAACCTTTGTTTTAACGCCATCAATGTCCGTTTTATTCAGACCATTTAATAACCATCTCAAGATTTCCACCCTGCTGGGACAAGTCCTGCAGCTTCCCTTACTGATGCTTGAGAAACGTTCCCCTTGTTGGAAAAGGTTCCCTGACTTTTCCCTTCCTCCGGCTCCCTTGTTAATTAACTGAATGTTTTCCATTAGCGTCTGTAAGACCCAGGAGGGGAAGACAGACCACAAATCCCCCCAGCCATTGTGTGTGTTTGAGTTAAGGTTCCCTTGCTTTGAATCCACCTTTAGTTTGACTTTAACATTGGCACCAATAAAACAGGTGTTTACAATGAGAGCTGTCTGAAAAAGTTACCAATTTTGAAGTTTTTCCGGTTCAGAGGATCCATCCTCTGGCCCTTCATCTTAATAGCGACTCAAACCAACAAGGCTTTCTTTATGGCTGAAACACGGACAAAGGAGGTGTCCCCGGAGAGTGCAAAGGACGCAGCCTCACCAGATCCAGAATGTTCCCTCTCAAGGATGGTCTAAGGGCATTCGCTCACAGGTGAAGGCTGGGATGACAGCCCCCTGGTGGATGGGGACCCCTGGTGACTAACTCTCCTGAGAGCCGGCGGAGCTGGACAGAGTGCCAGGTGCAAGTCCAAGCTGTCACCTGTGCCTCTGACCCGCCGGCCACAGCCCGGAGCCCCAGTCCAACCGGCTCTAGTCTAGACTGGCTGCGAAAGCACTGGTACTTGCACCTCCCAGATGACAGAGACCAGAGCGAGTGTCCTCACTGGTCGATAGCCAAGCTCTCAAGACACAGAACAGGACGGAAGGAGAAGCAATGAGGCTGCTGGTTTTCGTCCTTATGACACAAAGATTAGTGGCATCTCTGGGAGGCAAGGCCCAGCGGGCCAAGCATTCTCTATCCGGTTTACCAACTGTGGACCCTAAGGCCACAGAACCAGCTCCACAAATATTCTGTCCTGCTAATCCAATTTTAGAAAAGAGAAAAAGGACTCCCAGCCCTCCAGTTTCCAGCAGACCCAGCAGGCAGAGATCAGGGAGACTGACTGATGCAGTAAACAAGGACTCTCGCCTTCCGCTGTCCCAGGACCCCTGAGCTGCAGTGGCTTCGGGGCCAGGAGGACCAGCCAGTAAAGCTGGATCCAGCCGCCTGCCCCAGTCGTTGGGGAGGCAGAAATCTTCCTCTCCCTTCTAGTTCTAGGTCCTTCTGGCTGGTCTAAGAATTAAATTGACCTGAGACATGAACAGGAGAAAACCAAGCAAGCAAACGTTTAATAACACCTCTGCGCGGGAGAGACCCAGGAAAACTGAGACTGACCGAGGCGGCCGCCGCCCCCACCTTCAACACCATCTTCAGCTAAAGACTAAAGGGGACGTTGAGGCGGGAGGTCTGAGACTTCAAAGGGGAGGAAGGCAGTTCACAAGGAGATAAAAAGCAAATGTTTGGTCAACAAATGTTCTCTGGGACAGCGGGGCTCAGGGAGGACTCAGGTCTCCAGGCCCAGGCCCTGCTGCCCCCTCACCCCAGGCCACATTTGGAGGACAGCTCTGCTAAAGGCACCCCTCACGGAGCAGGCCCCAGCCTCGATTCTTCTGGGCACTTGTGGTGAAGGTCAAGGCTCTTCCTGGTCTCTCAGGCCCTGACTGTTTTGGCTCGAGATAATCCACGAACCAGAGACATGCTGGGTGGGAGGCTGCGCTCCCCTGCATGCAGGGCGAGGAGAGCTCTACCCAAAGGACGCTGAAAACCTTTAACCCAGGGGAGGGTATAGCTTTAACAGTAGAGAGCATGCTTAGCTTGCACAAGGTCCTGGGTTCAATCCCTGATACCTCCGTGCAAAAAAAAGGTCTGGTCTGCGTAGTGAACAGAAATAAATCTAATATTTCTAAAGAACAAAACAAAACAAAAAACTAACACATCACACTCTTGTGAGCCCCCCTAAGCTGCCTCTCACACAACAGCCCACCCCCTGGCTCCCCCAGACTCCTCTGGGAAGTCCTCAGAGACCAGAGGGTCTGGAAGGACCCACCCTGAGCAGTGCCTGACCCACCGGCCCCTCCCGGGATGCCTCCGCCAGCTGGAGCCCACGCCCCTCCAGCTGAAGTCTGCAAAGACCCTGTCGCCCTTTGCTTCGGGTGAAAATGCAAGGACTAGTCAGCGACTTTTTTCATATTTTGACATTTGGGGTATTTTTGGACTCTGCCTGATCTTTTCCCATTTCTTTCTCCTTGACCTTTCTTCCTCAAAATCAAATCAGCGAAGCCGTCTCTTACCTCCCTGGATGATTTCAGGGCCCCTTTCTCAGCTTATTCTGGAAGAGGCCCCCCTCCTGCCCCACCCCCCCTCATCCAGGGACACCCCTCCAGTGGCCTCACCTCAAGCTTCTTCC